GAGGAAGAAGAAGGAGGGGTGAAGGGGGAGGGGGAGGGAGAGGGAGAGGAAGAAGGAGAAGGAGGAGGAGGTTGTGTTGACAATACTAAAAGTGCAGTTGTTGGGGACTGAAATGTGCCAAGATGGAGAAAGGGCTGCACATCTCAGAGGACCTTTGAGTCCAGGCTTTGCTGCTTCTGGCTGAGTGCCTCTAGCTAGGCGGGACTTGATATTTCCAACTGTGAGGGACTTTTGGGTAAGATGTGCTCTGTGGTCTCCACACAACCTTGTTCTCTAGTGCCACAACTGAATGTAAGCAGAGTCAGCACAAGATCAGATAATGTCCAGTCAACCCACCCTTCCTGCTGACCCTGACTGCTCTTCCTAGTCCTCAGTGCCCTATAAATATGACTAATCATAACTGTAAGCCATTTACTGTGTACACAGCCTCTATCTTGGGTGTTTAACATGTTTCATCTCATTTAATAAGTCTGTGGAGTAAGTACTACATTTATCCTGATTTTATATGTAAGGAAGTTGGGAGTTTAGGCAGATAACTCAAATCCTGTTGGCATATAAGCACAAGAGCAGAGATGGGAGCTGACACACTCCATGTATAGTGCATAGGCCTGAGTATGTCACTTCTGTCTCGATCCAGTGCATAATACTGGCAGCCACTGTGGATACCTGTGCATGTTCTTTAGGGCGAAACTGCATCCTGGTAGGTGTCTGCTTGGATCCCACCTCCTGCAATTAGTTCAGCTCTGTGCTCATTGTGTACCCCAGAACCCACTCTGATAGAGCATTACTTTTACATTTAAAACCTGTATGTTCTTACTTCTCTGACACATGCACCATTCCCAGATGTGCAGTTGTGTTTACCCTCACAGGCTGTAGCTTTGTTCTTTGAGAGCTCTTTTTGACTCTGTCCCTGTGGTCTCGACACAACCTTCTTCTCTCATACACAAATCTGTGATATATTTCTATACTGACAAGCAAGGAACAAAGGAAAAAGGGATAAAAGCACTTTAAAGAGAACTCTAAAGATCGCGATTATGGAGACAGTGAGTTGGTGAGTGGGTACAAACAGGAAGTGATCAGGAGAGGTGAGAAAC